TGTATAGTTTTTGAAAAATAGTTATATTTTAAAGTATACTTTTAGTTCAGAGCGCTTCGGCCACTTAGTGTTTATAGTTATATACCATGTAAGGTTTGGTATACTTAGTTCACTATAAACAAGGGCTCTGATACCAATCTGTCACACCCCGAAACCGATGGCAGAAATGTTCTGAGGCGGAGGACGTCATGTAAAGTACCACAACCAATGTACATAGTAAGCATAGTAAACACAACCATTACATTACATAGGAATATTTACATTTTTTTGAAAGTAAGGTAATACATGATTTACATATACATCAATATAACAAAAGTAAAGACGAGACTGCTAAAAACGCTCCGTCTTCTCCAAAAGAACGCGGGATACCTGTCTAACGAGGACCTGAGAATATAAGCAGTTTTAAAATATCAGCATAAAGCTGGTGAGTTCATAAGCAGTTTGTATCTGTAATAGAACAAGTTTCCTTTGGTTTTCTGAAAAAGTTGTTATCCAAGAAAATCCCATATTTTCTTATAAGAAAAGTTTAGTTATCCATTTGTTACACAGTTTGATTAAGAACATTTATGTTATCTCAGGAAAAACCCTTATTTTCCTTAAAAGTTGGTGGTTGGTTATCGGTTTTGAATGCAGTGTACAAGTATCTACCATACTTGTAGTGTTAAGTGGAATATCCTGAAAGGCTGGTTATCTTTGAAAGTACATTAGTTTAAACACGTATATAAGACTAATAAGTAGGTAGTTTTAATATATAAAACTATAGAAGATAGAAAGAAATCTGTGAATAAAGTTAGTTAATTTAATACGTATTGTGAGTCGTATAACCATACTAATATGACCCGTGACTTCCTTTACGTTCTTCAGGCATCGTTCGATTCCAAAATTTGTCACCCCAGGCGTGCCCGCGTAACTGTAGCTAACAGTTAAGGTGTGGGATTGTCAGTCCTGAATAGATCTATCCACAAATTTCACGTTCTCCCTCCAAGAGACTCTGGTTATACTTCCGGAGAGGATTTGCTGGTACCCCGAAGGGAATAATGAAGACGAATCTCACAAGCTAGTATTACTAATTCACAGGATAATATATCATTGTCGAGTTTCGAAATAGTTTGGTACAAGGTAGAATATAAATAATCAAATACAATATAATTATTTAACTATATACTCTAGATTAAACATGGATAAACTAAATCAGACAGAGTTTATATTATTGACTTTGTACGAAGTTTGAATCCATAAAACAAATAATGTCGATCCCAAATTATTCCCTTAATAATTTGAATGATTAGATAAGTTATAAATTGGATGATTTGATAAGTTCCCAAATCGTTTGAAAGCTATGTAATTACATTGTGAAAAATCTCCCTTATGCTCGCATATTACAAAAAGGGATTGTGTATTTATTGTTTGTCAGGAAATCGTATAATGATTTGCTTGTATTCCCCCCTGAAAACATTGGAAAACACAGAAAAAAGGTGTAGGGGTATAAACACACCAGTCGAGAAATGTGTCGGTTAGGATGCTAAGTGTCAGTTCGGGGCTTGAATACACGCGAGGTTCCTATGTAATATGAAGAGATACATAATTGTATCTAATTAGACTTTGAACCACTAATTAATTAAGATGGTACACTCCGAGATGCGAAAACACTTTATTTCAAGTATTAGGAGTGATCCGGGTAGCATCTAAGGAGGTGTAAGGCCTAGATATGGAGTTTGTTCTTCAAGAGTAAACTCCTAAGGGTGCTTATCCCCATGAGTTTACGGTCGTAAACTCATGGGTTGTGTGTTCTTGGTTGCTTAAAGGTCTTATAACACTAGTGGGATGAGGCTAGGTTCAATTCTAAGGCAAGGGAAATGATTTGATCAACATATGGACCATTTTAAGGAGTTTACGGCTGTAAACAAGGAGTTTACGGCCGTAACCTCTCATATACCCTTTCCTTTTGTGTTTTGGTGATCCTAGGTTAAGCACAAGTGATTTTAGTCCAATGTACAAGCCATGGAAGGAAGTTAGGGCACCATTTGACCACTTTAGAGGAGTTTACGGCCCAGGAACCATTCCTTGGGGGATTTACAGCCGTAATCTCCTAAGGAGGTGGTTTCTTTCATGTTTAAGGTCCCTAACACAATGGTGGTTGGTTCTAGACATTATTCCAAGGCATAGGAGGTGTTTAAGGGGTATTTTAACACCTTAAATGGTGTTTATGATCCTTGAAGGGGTGTTTACGGTCCAAACATGATCTTGGGCCATAAACTCATGTTTACTCCCCATATGTTAAGATTTTGGTGTCCTAAGTCCATTCATGTAAACCCCTAAGTCATTGCTAAGCGCTAGAAGTGATTTGGGAGGGTTTTAGGGCTCCAAAACCCCATTTAAGGGTGTTTACGGTTTGGGATTGTTCTTGGGCCGTAAACACATGTCTTTGGTCCTTTTGGATGATTTAAACATGAATTTGAAAGCTAAACATGCTAAACTATAAGCTAGGATGGATCACTTACCAAATTGGAGCTTGAAAAGGGTGGTTTTGGATCAAAGTTTGGATTGTAGAGAGAGAGAGTAGAGAGAGAGTGAAAAATCTTCAAATGAAGTCCACTCACCCTTATATAGGGTTTGACTTTGAGGCTCGGTGGAAATCTACCCGATACTGACGTTAAATGAGGCTTATGGTCGTACCCGATTAAATTATCGTAACCCGACGTGGTTGAAACTAAAAATTTTCAAATTGAACATTGAGGGTGTTTTCTCGTGTTTCTAATGTGTTTGGACACTCATCAAGCCATAATAAAGGTGTAAATTCAATTATCCTAATTCAAAATTGTTAACGGAAAAATTGGAATATAACGGGTTTTATTGACAGAAACGATTATAGTGACGGAAAATTTTCGGATTGTCACACAGGCTGCTACAAGTGCGGCAAGACTGGACATTTTAGCAGGGATTGTACTGTCCCTACTCCTATTATTCAGATTTCAAACCTGATTTGCCTTCATTGCAATCAGAGGGGCCACAAAACAGCCCACTACCCGAGATCGGGAGCCCCAGTGATGGCGCCAGCTCCAGAGACCGTACGGATCACAGATGGTAGTCAGGGGAAGACGAATGCTCCGGTGGTGAGGAGCCGGGCCTTTCAGTTAACCGCTGAGGAGGCGCGGGCCGCACCAGATGTGGTGACAGGTATGTTTCACTCCCTTAACTTTTATTTTATATCGATTTTGATACTTATATTTGTAAAGATTTCAAATATATTATTGTATTATGCGCAACGTGCATGTATTCGTCTAGTAAATATTATAAAAGAGGCTAAAATACTTGAAGTTCATGTATTTGAAGCACCAATGATCATTCAATTGCCTTTTAATAAAGATTATAATTATAAGGCTTTTTATAATTATATTAAATTATACTTTAACACTAAAACTCTTTATATTTCAACTAATTAACTATGGGTATAACTCAATAATTTTTGTAACTTATGGTATATTAATTTTTTTATTTAGAATATATATATATATATATATATATATATATATATATATATATATATATATATATATATATATATATATATATCAAACACAAATTTCTACTTATCTTGATAAGATAGAACCTGAGCAATGAGCAATAATATGGATGCTCGATATATATATAGCAAACACGAATTTCTACTTATCTTGACAAGATAGAACCTGATCAATGAGCAATAATATATATGTTCGATATATATTTTCGTCAAATAGATTATTATTATTTATTTATTTCTTCATGCTAACTTCATTTGTTTTCTTCGTATTGTTTTATATTACTAGAGTTTATAACTTTGTTTATCATTTTATGTTAAACTAATTAACTATTATAATTCAAAAGTTTTTATATATAACTTATGGTATGTTAATTAGTTTCTTTAGAGTATATACAGATGGAGATATGATTTTATAATAGGGTTGTCATGAGAAATTTTAGTAATGATGATAGTAGAAAAATAATTCAATTTTTTTTTGAATTTTTTGCATTGCCACCGAAAAATCAAGCGTTGCCAGTGCCACTCCAATTACCATAGTAAAACCTTAAGTGAGAGTGTGTATATAGTTCATGGATGTATATTAGATTCTTAGAATTTTACAATAAGATCGGGAAAAAAGGAATTAAAAAATACAAATTTCAATTTCATGAGATAGAACTTGAGCAACAATATGTTATTTAATACACATTATCGTCAAATAGATTATTATTATGTATTTTTTTCTTGTATTAAAGTTCTTTTGTTTTTACATATTGTTTTCAATTGTTATTAGAGTTTATGTTTTTTTTTCTTGATTTTAATATTGTTTTTGAATTCTCTAATTTGTAGTTAAAACTTATTGTTTGTTGTTGTTTCTATTATTAAAATTTATTCTTTTGTTTTTTCATTTTAGTATTGTTAAGTTTTTTTATTTCTACTTGAAACTTATTTTTTTATTGTTTTTTTTATAATTTATCAATAAACATTTTATAATTTATCAATAAACATTTATATCCAAAACAATCAAAATGTTTTCTAGAAAGTGATGTATGTCATTAATATATAAAGACTCACTAAATATTAGTAAGAAAGACTTTGATTAAATGATCAGTATAACAAATTATTAGCTCTAAATTAAATTAGTAATAATGATATTGTTTTCCATGGTAAAAAAGATGATTAATAATTCTCCTTTTATTCACGCTTAATCAACTGATTACACCAAGAAACTATTTATAAGGATACAAAGATAAAATAAAAGGAAAAGAAATCTCCAAAGATAAACACCCTAAATTGAAACCCACTAATCTCGGTATTGATCAACTTATTTTTGGATATGATTATTTGGCTTATTCCAACAGATATAGATATCTCTAATACAATATATGTATCAATAGTATAATTATATTATTGTATTCAAATGCAATATATTTGTAAATTTGAATAACCATAGTTTTATTCATACGAGTTTTCGTCTAGTTTTCTTATTATAATTGTACTAAAATAAGTTTGACAAATCATCAACCCTTGGGTTGAGAATGATATTGACCACGTGGCTCATTGAAGGTCTCGCATCCTTGTCTTCTTGAGCACATTGTAAAGCAACTTTTAACAGATTAATTAACACTCTCATATCGTATTCACCACTAGTCCTACCATCAACAATTTCCTCAATCCAAGTTCCATTCTCGCTCCTAATATATTCATAAATCTTCTGCCTCACCCACTCGACCAACGTTTGCTCTCCACCATGACTGCCATCACCAAGTTGCAATGGGCTCTTTCCAGTTATCATCTCCAGTACCACCACCCCATAACTGTAGACATCAACCTTTGAGGTAATCGGAAGATTAAAAACCCATTCTGGAGCCATGTAACCACGTGTACCTCGAACCTTCGAAAAGCTTGGATTTTCGATCGAACCTCTATCAAACAGCTTAGACAACCCAAAATCCGCCACCTTTGGACAATAATTAGCATCCAGCAAAATGTTATAGGGTTTGACATCACAATGCAAAACCCATTCCAAGCACTCTTCGTGTAAATAAGCCAGCCCTTTTGCAATACCAATTGCTATTTCTAGCTTCTTCCCCCAATCAAGTTTGTTGGAGTTTAGGCATGTTGCCAACGACCCATTCTCCATATACTCAGAAACCACAAGCCTATGTTTCCCTTCAATGCAATACCCCAATGTCTCTATCAGATTCATGTGATTGAGCCTCCCAATTGTGCTTAGTTCTGCTTGAAACTCAACTTCTCCCTGGTGAATATAAACTTCCTTGAGCATCTTTATTCCTACGGGTCTGTCATCCGACAGTTTTCCTTTGTAGACGACACCTGAACCCCCTTTACCTATCTCTTCTTTGAAGTTCCTTGTTGCGGTTTTCAACTCAGCGAATGTGAATCTTTTAATCCCTGATGCTATCTGGAAGTAACTTGTTGTAGACGAGTCTTTGAGAGTGATACAAAAGAAAATGAGTACAAATACGAACTCAAGGAGTCCGATTCCATACCCAAACCATAACAAGATTTCCAAAGAACTATTTCCATGTTTTCTATCATAAGACCTTTGAATAGACATGATTTGATTCTCTGGACAACTTAAGCTGGATCCGTTGACGAATGTTTGTTGAACTGATGATACCAAATCTTTTGGTAGCTTAATATACATTGAACTCCTGAATGCTAATTGATATCCATTGTATAACACATTCTTCAAGAAACAACTATAGTAACCTTTATCGGTGAAATATTTGTATTGGAACCCTTTGCAGTTACAGTCTTTCAAGCAAACTTGTTTGCAAGCGTCAAGAGTCCTATTCTCAAGATACCTGATTTCGAAACCATAAAACTTCAAAAATGGAAGCTCTACATAATCTTCTGAAACCTGTTTGCAAGGTTTGAATTTTGGTGCACAACCATTGGTCCAATCGGTCTGATTCTTCTTCGTATACCCATGTACACAGACACATTTCCTACCAGTTTCTTGAGAGTAAGTACACACACAATTTGGTCCACATACGCCATGAATCTTGCAAGGATTGGAGAAAGCTTGCCACTGAACCTCCCACTTCTTTCCTTCTTTTTGATCTACAAGACTATAAACCCTAATATTTCCATCAGAGTCAAGCTTCATTATTCTGTGGCGTCGCATGCCAAAATCCGAGACAAAGAAATGGAAATCGTCAGATGACTTGAAATGGCCTTGAGAATTCAGTTTCGCAATTCTACTGTTATTATAAGTGTATCTCTTGGCTTTCCAAGGTACCGAATATGGTTTAGGCCAGTAAACACTCGTTATTTCGGGATTTTTGTAGAGAAGACTAAGAACGTTGTTGGTCTGAAAATAGAGCTTAAAGAATCCAGAAGAAAAATTGGATGTACTTCTTGAAGAAACCAGCTCAGAGTTTTTGGTGAAGACTTGATCAGGTAAAAGCGTATCAGTTGGATGATCAAAGCTTTGCCAAAGCAGGTTTTGATCTCCATCTAGCTGGCGTAGAACTAGATTTCCGGTGTCTTCAAGTTGTAAAGTGAGTGAATCACTAGCAGATTTGGTTTCTGTTGACCAAACAATAGACTGGTCAGCATCGTGTAAAACAAGATTACCATTGTCGTGGAGGAAAAGCTTAGAGTGCTTTCCATTTACTGGCGCGTCTCGGTTTGCCATCCAAACTACTGTGGGATTCACGTTTTGCGACTGAGGCTCGATCAACCAAATCGAAAAACAATAAGCGTTGATTCCCACCTCGTAAAATCCCGCAGTGAAAAGGCTGTTAGGAGAAACCAGATTATCGTTTTTGCGATCAACAGATATCGATGAGCCTTTGGGAATAGCATGCGCAGGCGAAGAAATAGAAGATGAACACGTAAAGAGGGAACTGTATAGAACAATCAGAAGTGGAATATGAGAAAACAATGAGGGTAAAGCCATTAAAGTATATATATTGTGTATGATCGATTTGATGATCCTTAATTTTCTTGTGTCAGTATGTTCATGAAGGACACACTAAACACAAAGGACTGAAACACTTCACTGATCTGAATTGGTTTTGATGCATGAAGGGTACGTGAACAAGCAAACGGATATCTTAGTTTTTAGGAGTGGTCATCAATCTATTTATACCAACTAGCATCTCATTTATTTAACCCTAGAATCTGTTAAAGGTAAAAAAACCCAAAGTTTGGAGCACGAACCTTCTTTACTTGGATCAAAGTGCCACTTTCCACACGTCATGCACGTTGAGAGCATACATGACCAGACGTGGATTACGATTTACGGTAGCATTTATAACCTTTCAAACTGCCATTTTCAACACGTTAATTTTCTACATATATTTTTCATTTTGTTATATAGTCAAGATCAAATAATAAAAAAAAATTTGGTAATAATATAAAATAGTGTTCTCACATTAAATAGAGTTTTCATTTTTGAACTTAACCCTATATATATATATATATATATATATATATATATATTATATATATATATATATATATATATATATATATATATATATACTTAGGTTATTTTGTTTATAGTAATTATTGTGTTATTGTATTCATAAATGTGGGCCAATCAAATTTACTTATTTTAAGAAAGTGATTAATATATATTATTGAATTAAATATAATTGAAAAAATCATCTTAATTAATTACAAGGGTAATTTAGTTATTACATATAGATTTAATAAAGGAAAATTGCATTTTTAAGGGATCATAGATTTTATTAATTTTAAAAATCCGATTTTACGAATTCTAATTCTTTTAATTCGGACATTCTAACAGAATATGTTTATGAGTATATTCAAAAATAAAAATATTCTTGAACCATAAATAATAAAAATATTCTTGAACCTATTTCTTTATAATGAATTTAAAAACTTCTTATAGAATAACAAATTCTTGAGCAATTAATTGAAGAATAAAAACAACAAAATACATTATTTCTTAAAGAATACAGGTAAGAATTGTTCATAATTACATCAAAATCTAACAACGACTAATTCATTCTAAAAGAATAATGAGGTTCGTTTCAATTTTGTGGTCCGTTCTTCAAGCATTAACTTCTGTGATTCCAACAAAATTGGAATTCGCCATTCCATTCCAACAGAATTGGAATTCTTGATTCCATTCCAATAGATATTAGCGAATAAACTGTTCATTTTGATATGTATATTAGCCAAAAAACTGCTTTTTCATTTCCTTCCCTTCCCCGTCAAACACCCAATCCAAACATCTATTGTTTTCTATCAAATGCAACAAACCCAAACACCCCAATGATTTCTATCTAACATGCAAAAAACCCCTGGATTCTGAAGTGTATATTCTATGTAATACATTCCTTCCCAATTTTGAAATATATATCAAAGATTTTCAGATGTAAGAAAATACACAAAATTAAATAAATAAATAAAATATCATTTATCAAGTAATTATGAAGACAAATTCATGGGGGATTTTATAGATAACCTTCTTCACTTTCTTGTAGCAGCCGGAGTATTTGAGATTGACATTCAACACCATTTTTATCACCTGTTTCGTTATATCGAACAGATTTAATCGACATTAGTTCGTAAGTATATTAGCTCATTTCAATTCTTAAAATGCTTAATTAACAGGAAGATTTTGTCATGAGAAACTAGATTGAAAAGATAAAACGATAATGGCTTCGGAATTCAGATGAAACTTAATTGATAATCTAAGTGGGAACTGAAATATCAAATGAGTACCTTCTCAGGCCCCATGGCAGTGAAGGAAGAATCGATATGTGAGAGTCAAATATCAAATGAGTACCTTCTTAGATGAAACCACCATCGCTTTTACCAACAGAAGGCACCTTGAAACGTGAACTGCTGAGACACCCACTCTAATTTAACTTAAGATCCCTAACTGGAGTAGGAGTGTTCACTGAAATTTCTGCAAGAGGCAGCCTATTGACACTTCTAACAATCGGTGGAGTTTCAACCCCCTTCACAACCTCGATTTTTCGAGGAAAAGAATCGGAGGCCATGAAGGCATCTCGGGGGCGTTTGCGATCAAGAAGAACCTTTGTAGCTCTAAAATTTGCGGAAATTCGAGCCTTTTGTTCATCTGATGGTTGTCATACACCGAAATTTTCTTCGTTCATCATCTTGGGAGTTCAGATAGGATCCAAATGCGAGTTCCGTAAAGATGTTTTAGGAAAAAATTTATCGAATACACGAATCAATCATATAAACCTAGTGGACACTGAGTAGAAGTAGAACGACGTAAGTGGAGGTTTGTGCCCCATTGCGGTGGTTCCCTCCTTTGTTGTTGCGTTCAAAAAAAAAAGATTAAGGAACTTTTAATTTCATCAATCGATTGGAGAAGAGAAAAGGGAGGTACAATCACTTGGCTTCTGTCGACCGGAGGGAGGAGACACAAAGAAGAGGAGGTGTGGTTTTGGGAGGTGTCGATCGGATTTGAGAAGTGAAGAAGGAAATAACGATACTAGCTTCAATTTAGGGTTTTGAATCTTGATGCCGATTGAATGTTATAAAAATATCTGTACTTCTTGCGATTTACTAGGAATACAGTTAAGAAGAGTCAATGTCTACCATAATTATAGGATATTATTTGTGGAAATTAATTATCAAATTACCTATTTACCCTTATTTATTTATTTAATTATTTATTTTTATTTTAAATTTTGATTGGCCCACATTTATGCATACAGTAACACAATAATTACTTTAAACAAATGAACCTAGCAATATATATATATATATATATATATAAAGTTATGAAATTCTGTATTTTTAGTTTTTTTTTTATAAAAAAAAAAGTTCTAAAAGTTGAAAAAAAAGAGTGGTTCTTTGTTAATTATGGTTCTCTATTGAACCTCACCCTATATATATATATATATATATATATATATATATATATATATATATATATATTGTGACAACCCGATATTTCAACTCTTTGTAATGACCTAATAGGTCAAGTTTTGTAACCACTTATGAGTAATAAAATGTATAAATAAGTTCTACTTAAATTCTTTCTATGATTTAATGTCTTTGAACCATGATCGTACGTAAAAAGATCGCCCAAATCCGACTTCAGATAGCGAAGTTGTGAGTTTTCAAAGAAATTCCTTAAACACGATGGATTGATATTAAATAATAAAAACAATAATAAAAATAATTTCGGAATTTGCCAACGGAATCTAAACGAAAGTTGTAGATCGTAGTCTCACCTTCGCGGGGATATAAAGAACGTCGAAAACGGAGTTCGTATGAAAGAGATATGAATTTTTGAAGTTTGATAAATAATTTAAATATAAATTTTATTAAAAGTTCGGTATTATCCGAGGGAGGAGTCAGCCTTGGGCCGAGGTACGCGCCGCGTACGCTCGAACGCCCCGCGTACTCGAATGAAGGGTCTCGGATCGACCACGTCGCCCTATGCGAAGCTACCGACCCGTCCCATCCGACCCGCGAACCCAGGAACCCGTCCCGTCCGAAGTGCGTAAGCGATGACGCACGGGTACGCGCTGCGTACGCCCGTACGCCCCGCGTTCGGAGGCGGTTCAGCAACCCTATAAAAGGGATGTGAGCCTTTCCGAAAATGTTGTTCATTTCCTCTCTTTCTCTCCCGATCTTGCCTTGATTTCCGTGCCCATTCAAACCCGAAGCTCTGGTCTTTTTGCTCAAGTCCCGAGGGTCGATTTTACTCCCGAGATTCCCGAGAATCCCGAGAAAATCCGTTTCGCAAGATGAAACTCTGCCCGGTTTTCGAGCTCGCTATCTTCGAATTTCCAAGTGAGTTTCATACCCCTTAATCAACTGTTTTAATTATTCTAAATACTTTTAAATGCTTTATGGGGGGGAATACAAGTTAAACACTTATAGTTATTGTTTCAGTCACATGTGACGGCGTTAATCACATGTGATTAATAACTAAGAAACCAATGATTTTATCACTGTTCAAACAGTTTTACTCCAAAATGTTTTACAAACTCTTTTATTTTTCAAATGCTTTATTGTAAACTTGATTTTACTACTTATAAATTTGCATGCCTATATATGTATAGCTGTATAAATAATGTTTAAAGGGCTTAGGAAAGCCACCTATCCTATTTCCTTTTCCTCGATTTAGATGTGGTCTGCTGGAATTTCGGGTGACTATCCGAGCATCGTTTCAATATTAGTTATATGTCGTATATACGTGTATAGACATAAAGGTACTTCCATATACATGCTTATCAAACACATCATTAGTAAGTTACCATCGGGGTAACAGATCATACTACTACGATTTCTAGATCAACGAGTCAGTTCATTCATGAGTCATTATTCATTACTAAGAGAAAATACACAACGATACTAGAACAAGTAATATTTTATTACAAACACACGAATACTTTAACAATTGTGATCCACTGTATGGGTTCATGTCTTAATTGTCATGACCCGGGTTGTAGCCAGAGTCTCTTGGAGGAGAGCGTTGAGTTTGCGTATAGATCTATACTGGATTGACTATCCTACACCTTTCTGTTAGCTACAGTGGGACCGGCAGGTCTACGGGTGCCAAACGTCATAACCTATTTTTCGACTATACGTTGTCGATGTTACCAGTCAATAGTATGGTGCAACTTATCACACGATACCTTAATATAAACCCGGTTTAAGGTAGTTAGTACCACGGTAGTTCATATAAACCGTACTACAAGAATTTACCCATTACATTTTGGTGATAGCCACACCTAAACTTAAATGTACAAACTATATTTTGTTAAATGACAGTTACACTTGGGAAATTTCACACTTTTACATCAAACGAGCATACAAACTGTTAAGCCTTGGTAAAGGGCTACTTTTATACTTTAAACAGAAAATATAGGTTTTTCTGAGAGATTCAAACATTTACAAACACTTACATACATTTACAACTCATACTTGCAACAG